AAAACAACGGATTAGAACAAGGAAGTCTTTGCAATCCTATATGTGCTCTGTAATGAAACGGACAATGAGATAAAAGTTCTTACCAGTGTGTGTATAGAAAATTATTTAATTACAGATACATTTTATATGTTCTGTTTAACGTTGACTTCTTGATAGATCAACATTTAAAGCTGGAGAACCTAACTTTGAAACCACAAGAAATAACTATGTAATAATAAAACTAGCTCCCAAAGCAGAAGGTTCAGTCCCTATTTTTCACATACATTTTTTTGTATTTAGATCGGCTTTTTGAGTGAAAAAGAGAGTTCCAGCCCTCACTCAGCTCTCAATTTATACAATAAATATGACATGTTTTATAATTAGAGAAGAAATTTACATTGCAACACTGAGATTGAGATTTGTTGATGTATTTATGAACAAAAAGGTACTCCAGCTTTAAAGGAATAGTTCACCGTTTTTACATACTGACATATGTTCTTACCTTACCTTAGACTAGTTAATACGTACCTGTCTGGTCTTAGTCCGTGCGCTCTGTCATGCAAACGGAGCAAAAACGGGAGCACAACCGCAGCCTCCTCTGTATATTTTGTAGCACCAAAAGGTAGCTCCCGCTAGAAGCTACCAAACTCTTCCAAGTGTTCCCTATTAAATGTATATAGTTACGTGACGTGTTACACTGCAAAGTATAGTAACACAGAAATGTAACAGTCGATTTTCTCAGCGGATAAAACGGGTACTATATTGTGAGGCGTAGTAATCTGAGGAGCGCTACGTCCGCGCACTAACTTCTCTCCGGAGACTTCTCTCTCGCTCACTTCCGTCAATAGAAGCAGCGTGACTTGTAATACACACAGTAGCAGCGAGAGAGAAGTCTCCGGAGAGAAGTTAGTGCGCGGACGTAGCGCTCCTAACTTCTCTGCGCACTAACTTCTCTCCGGAGACTTCTCTCTCGCTGCTACTGTGTGTATTACAAGTCAGTATATCTCTAGCAGATTATGGTAAACAAAGAAAAACGTAAATAAATACAGTAACTGTGGACGAGGTGGCACCAGTAAATGTATTGCCCTGGATTTTAATTGACTTTAAGTAAGTAATCTTTATTTATATAGCACCTTTCACAGACCAGAGTCACAAAGCGGTTTACAATTGTTATTTTTGGGCGTTTGTCTCTCACTCCACACAGAGATGGGAGCAGGGTCGCCAGTACAGGAGGCGCATGCCAGACCTATTGTACATGTTTTTAGTGGTAGGGGAAACCGGAGTACCCAGAGGAAACCAGACATGGAGAGAACATACAAACTCCACTCAGAAAGGCCCTGGTCCGACCGCGATTCGAACCCAGGATGTTCTTGCTGAGAGGCGAGAGTGCTAACCACTCAGCCACCGTGCCGCCCACAGTGCTTTGTGCATCCTTTTACCACAGCTGATAGACCTGTGTTCAAAAGCTTTTATTCACAAAATAAAGAAAATAAAGAGACATCGGCCGCATTGCTTTATAGGCCGGAAATTACAGTATATGTGCGTGACTTTTATTTATTTACAAAATAACTAAAGCAAGTTTTCCCACCTTAAAACTGAAATAAATACCAAATATTTTTCTGATTAATTCCTCTTATAAATCCTTAGAATTCATACAAAAAGGTCAACAAATACATGATTTAGTCGAATATGATGCCAATGACCAATTAATCGGCCGAACGACCAAAAACTAACAACCCTAATTATTTTCACAGTCGTAGTTGTTGATATTCCTAAATTTCGAAGACTTGGCCACATCATGAGCATGTGTGGACGCTCAGATTCTGATTCAAAGTTGTTGCACTGATGGCTGATGCTGCCACAGAGTGACCTGAGAGGAACTGTGAACAGTCTCCAGCTGCTGTGGGCTCAGGAGATTATTTTATTTGCTCAAATCCCAATAACGAGAGATTCCCTGGAGTGGGCACACTTGTGTTGGAAATAGTCCAAGCTGACGGATGAATGGAGAGCAGTCTTAAAAACGCCCTTAACTTTTTTGTTCCTTGGGGATACCCTTTATGGAGCCTTTCAACCTCATGTGCACGCTTTGCTCGTCTTTTGACCTACATTCACGCTTCAATACCTCCACAGGAAGACGTGCACCACATCAAACATTTGAAAAAAATCACACACAGAGATAAGAAAAGAAAGCGATATTTTGTTTATTTCTAGCTTTTTCTACTACATAATGCTAAAGCTGGGGATTCTAACTTTTTCCCATAGTTAATCCAAGTTGTGGCTTTTTTGTCTTGTCAAAGTAAATGTGAAAAAATTTGACATTAAAACACTGTCATCCTCAAAACATGTTATTTTTACGTATATATGTAAGAAAGAGCCATGTTGTGAGTCTCTATTTGACGCTTTTGGCTGAGAGCTGATTGTGTGATTTTATTATGGTTTCATTTGAATGTTAGGTACCCCAGCTTTAAAAGTGGACTGCACAACTTTTCTTCATTTCCATTTTCTTGTACAGCGTCCTTGGGTGTTTTGAAAGACGCTTTAAAATGTTTTATTATCATTGTTGCTGCCATGGAGGGTATTGCTTTGCTTGGATTTAGCCTCAGTGTGGTTTAAAACATGTACATTATTTAATCAAAGAACCTGAAGGGTCTAAGGACAGTGAGGATGCAGGACATTTAGGTACATTTACCATTTGGTAGACCACCTTTTGAGTCAATATCTTCTTTAAGCATGCTTGGAACTGAAATCTACCTCTTTGGGACATCTCACTTGATTTTAGGTATTTTTACCATCAAACTGAATCTGAACCATGTGGTAAAGGCCTATAATATAAAAAAATAGGGGTTAAACAATAACTTTTTAGTGGTCCTAAATCATAGAAAATCCCCACAACAACAAAAAATAAATTCTTTAAAGAGTGAATGTTAAAAGGGTTAAAATGTGCATATGTATTAGCATCCATTAGCTCTTATGTGTTTTTATTACTGCATTTCCTGTGTTCAAAATGCTTGATATGACAACTTTGTTAAGTCCACCGAGGCGACTTCACTGCTGTGATTTTGGCCTCTACAACAACAACAAAATTAAAGTGAGTTGAATGTGTGTTCCTCTACATATACACACCTCTGCTTCGGCCTTGTCCAACCTGCTCCTACCACGGTACATTTGCTCATAACTCTCGGCCCTCCCCCATGATGCTCCCCTGGCCCTGACCTTGACTGTATCGCTACAGTGATAATCTATTTCATGGTTAAACAAACACACGTACACACACAGGCGAAGAGGAGCAGACAATGAGCCAGACTTCTAATGGAAATGCCATCTGTTTTGGCTGGAGCACTTTTCCACAGTATTCTCATGCAACTGTTGTGTGTTAAACGCTAGAATATTCCTTGTATTGTGGTTATGTATAAGACACATTATTGAATACGTGTTTTGTTTTGATAGAATCTAATTGTGCTGTATGGTGCCTTGTTGGTTAATTTACTAAGTTCAGCTAATGGATTTTTTAATAAGGAGAGACTGAATATTTTATTACGCTAAAATTAGTCCGCAGATGTTTTGAAGTTATAAAGTTTTAATGGACATTATTACAACAAAAACTCTCAACCTTCTTAAAATCTTTAGACACATTTTTCATGCAGCTGAGAGCTCCAAAAATGGCTGAAATTTTTCCTTTTTTTCAACACGACTATTACTAATTCATGATTTAGACCAGGACGTTAGACATTTTTAAATCCCAAAAGGAAAATTAAAAAACAAGGCGGTTACATAATAGAAAAGGAGGAAGTGCTGCAGTAGGTCATAGCGAACCAAAATAGTCAGCGGTCAGGCACTCCTCAGGAACAGGATTTAAAAACAGATGAAATGTCGCTTAAAGGAAAGAGAGCATTATGTACTTAATACGGACCATGTTATTTTTAGACGAGGAAAAGCTACCGCAAAATAAGACCCCTATACCTTATTACCACTATTATATACAATAGGGCGGAACATTGAAATGAAAACAATAACAAGATTTAGGGTCTGTAAAACTATTTTTTAAAATCTAAATCCAAATAGCTTGGCTGAACTACTGTTATCAGTTAAAAAAGTATTTGAAGAGAGCATGGTTTATAAATGCCTCTTAACAGATTAGGGCCATTTAATGATGACTTGACATGTAAATCCTATGTTTTGCTACTTTAAATATCCTCAAATGTCCTTGAAGATGTTCTCAAGGGCATCTGTTGAGCTTTGTTTTGGCCAAATGTTAAAAAAATCCCATATTCACAGACCTTTCAGGATCTTAACACTTAATTGATTACCAAAAAAATCGCTAATTACATCCCTAGCACATGTTTTGGGTTGGGGGGAACCACAGTGGAAATGTTTTTTAGTTTTTTTTTAGTTTTTGTCTCTTGTCATTGACCACAAGACAAAGGACTACCTCATTAAGAGCTACCACCCAGTTGCTTGGATACAGCATTAGTAAATGTACGTCTTTAAGTCCAATAGAAATTAAACACTATTCAAAGAAGTCCAGACTTTTCTTTGACCTTTTCATCATCTTATGCTAATGTCTGGTCCTCATTGTGCTCATGTTTTAAAGGCTTGTCACTAATTAGGCCTATGACATCCACTATTGGTTTACTAAAGATGTGAACCAATTTTTTTCATCGATCTGGCCTGTTTTATCTGGGATGGGAGACTTCTGTTTTTCCCCAACTTGATTTATTGTTGCATTTGTTCCATTATCATTATTATTAATATTATCATTATTGTTATTATTATTTCTCTCACACAAAGACATCCGGAAGAGAGTGATGTCCTTATTTTACTGCTTCAGTCGACTTGACCTATGATGTTATAAGTTGCTGAATAAACAGACTCTTTACCAACTTCAACAACTTATAAACAATACTTTTTACTGTTGGGAATAGACCAAATGTATAAGAACCACTCTGCTGCTAGGATTTTTATAATTCAATATTTTATGTAGCACCAATCCCACTTAAATTACCGTTTTCTCTTTTGCGTAGGGTGCTTCTGTGGTCTGGGTCTGGTCTACTCCAATAAGTCATGCACCATGCCACCCATCACCTTCCAGGACCTGCCCCTTAACATCTACATGGTGATCTTCGGCACCGGCATCTTCGTCTTCATCTTGAGCCTCATCTTCTGCTGCTACTTTATCAGGTATGGCTAACTCTGTACATTAAAAAAGTGTTAAAAAACCCACAAAATGCACAGCTAAACAAAACTATTTTTTACCTTGATTTGAAAACTGCCAGAGTTGACGCCTGTCTCACATCTTCAGGAAGATTGTTCAAGACTTTAGCTGCATAAATCTAAAAAGCAGCCTCCCCATGTTTAGTCCTGACTCTGGGCACCAGCAGGAGGCCAGTCCTTGTGCTCCTCAGAGTCCGGGCCGGGCTGGTTCATATGGGACTAACATGTCACTAATATATTTTGGTGCGAGGCCATGGAGAGACTTGTACACAAGCAGAGCTGTTTTAAAGTCTATTCTCTGGACTGGTGTGATATCACTTCCTGGTAATACTATTTTCTATTCTAGGCAATCTTGTCCATTTGGTTCGCAACCTGTTTTGCCCTGTGGACCTTGTAGCCAAAGTAGATATTTCCACATACACCAGGGTCAAACGAATTTTCAGAACAAAATGACAAATGTAAGAAAGACTAATAACAAGACAAGACAAGCCTAAAACTAAGACAAGAATTATTTTTTATAGTATTATGGGTTTTATAGATTATATATACAGTGGGGCAACAAGTATTTAGTCAGCCACCAATTGTGCAAGTTCTCCCACTTAAAATAATGACAGAGGTCTGTAATTTTCATCATAGGTACACTTTGTGAGAGACCGAATGTGAAGAAAAAATCCAGGAATTCACATTGTAGGATTTTTAAAGAATTTCTTTGTAAATTATGGTGGAAAATAAGTATTTGTTCACTTCAAACAAGGAAGATCTCTGGTTCTCACAGACCTGTAACTTCTTCTTTAAGAAGCTCTTCTGTCTTCCACTTTATCTGTATAAAAGATAGCCCAAATGTAACCCAAAACGATATTTCAACCACTGATAATCTCCCTCAATCTGGGGCTCCACGCAAGATCTCATCCCGTGGGGTCAAAATGATCATGAGAACGGTGATCAAAAATCCCAGAACCACACGGGGGGACCTGGTGAATGACCTGCAGAGAGCTGGGACCAAAGTAACAAAGGTTACCATCAGTAACACACTACGACGACAAGTGAAGTTTGCCAGAGAGCACATGGATGATACAGCAGAGGATTGGGACAATGTCATGTGGTCAGATGAAACCAAAGTAGAACTGTTTGGTATAAACTTGACTCGTCGTGTTTGGAGGAAGAAGAATACTGAGTTGCATCCCAAGAACACCATACCTACTGTGAAGCACGGGGGTGGAAACATCATGCTTTGGGGCTGTTTTTCTGCTAAGGGGACAGGACGACTGATCCGTGTTAAGGAAAGAATGAATGGGGCAATGTATCGTGAGATTTTGAGCCAAAACCTCCTTCCATTTAGTTAAATTTCTGTTATTGACCAGATACTTATTTTCCACCATAAGTTACAAATACATTCTTTAAAAATCCTAAAATGTGAATTCCTGGATTTTTTTTCACATTCTGTCTCTCACAGTTGAAGTGTAGCTACAGTATGATGAAAATGACCCCTGTCATTATTTTAAGTGGGAGAACTTGCACAATTGGTGGCTGACTAAATACTTTTTTGCCCCCCTGTATATTTTTAAACACGTTATTTTCTTAAGAGAATTGTAAATTGTTTAAAATGATCTAGCATTTTGTGGTAGCCCATATAAACCTCTTACTATCAATGTTTGTAAGTAAAAAAATAATACTTGAAAATCATGTAAAGGGGACATATTCACCCAATTCTGTTCTCTATAATATGAAAGTCTACATATACTATATCTAACATCCATCCATCCATTTTCTTGCCCCCCTGGTTCAGGGGGGTGACAATCAGCTGCCACTCAAATCACAGAGCATCAGGTTCATACAGTATGAAATGTTTGGATTGGATTCGCAACACAACTTTAGAAGGAACACGTTTTATAGCTCTTCTTGCCCCACATAGCTCCACCAAGTAAAAAACAAAGAACACCACGCGTATATGAGGGTACAAATTACTCAAACATGTGTAAATCAAAACTGCTTTGTGTGTTAATGACAATAGGGGAAACAACTGTTACATGGGCAAAAGCTAAGAAAAGTAGATTTTTAGGTTATAACTAATACCCTCACATACCTGCAGTTGGGAAACACTGGTGAAACAATAGACATAATAATTTGATTTAAATAGACGGGCTATTGGTATACATTCTTCTGAAAAATTGGGGACTCATGTTAAGTGTGACATCATTTCTCATTTCCGGGATTAAAACTGCTGAAACTTTTGCTATTTTTGTGTTGTTAAACTAAGGCTAAGTTCATGTCAACAACTCCCAAATTAAGGAGAGGAAAGGGAAGTGTTGTAGACATAAGAATTCAGATTAAAAACAGTTCTGTTTAGCTGTGCATACAACTGAAAATACTAACTTAAACCTTCTTAACCTTAAATCTGGGGTTCCCAACTTTTAAGCCATAAAAAAAATCAATCTCTTGTTTTCACATGCATGCATTCTTTTGGTCTCTGTCACATCTTTAGATCAGCCTTTTCAGACAGAAAAGTGAGCCAGCCTTTGAGGTCTCAGCCTAAAGCGTCAAATACTCACGGGGCAAAAGATAGCCTGTTTTCTAATAAGCGTGGTCTTATTTGGTCTTTTTAACATTTCACTCTATCAACACTCTTTCTATTGGGATAACGTACATGTATGATTCGGGAAGCTTTAAGCCCTATTTGTTTTATGTCTAAACAACACACAAAATCACCATGGAGCTGATGAAATGATCCAACAGCACAGACAGAGCCGTAAGGTAGCAACCTAAAAACCTCAGCCCAGTTGGGATGTGCTTGGACTAGAAAACTCCAAAAATAAGGAACAGCGTGACCCCTTGTGCCAAAGGCCGATGGGATATGAGGCAACAGGAAGCAGCCGGGCCTAATGCTGCGTAAAAAAAAAAAAAAAACACGAAATGAATGAACTGTGCCACAGTGGGAGAGCACATGAAAGCGGACACAGCACCTGCAGACAGACCATTGCGTCATCCCCACTTTGCGATATGTGGCCGGGAGAGATTCAGATCCAAACACTGGTCATATGGCACAGTCTGGGTGGCAGCGATTAAAGAATTTTCAAAAAATGTATGGGAAACAGACAGGAAACAGAGAGAGGACAACAAAAATCAATAACAGAGATAAATAAAAGAAAAAGATGTGAGACAAATGTAGGGACAATTTGTGGGAAGCCAGGTCATGTGGAAATCCTGCTACTTTAAAGCCTAAATGGCAACTATATGTTTGAATAATTCATTTCAAGTGAATCAGAGTATGGTGTTTTTGACCTAAACTAACAATAGGGGGATATCCTTTGTCACATTGTGGAGATAATATGTCTGTCAAATGGAATACAAAGCTGTTTGTTTTCTTGTTTTGTGGCTTCAATTCAGAGCAGACGTCATTATTCTCACATTCTTTTAAAGAGAGAGAAAAAGCCACTACACTGACTATACACCATGCACACTGTGCAACCCGTGCTGAGGTATCAGAACGACTCGCCTTTCAGCCTGCCATCCGACCTAGTCTTTTTACCGAGGCGCGTCATTGGGAACACTACGGCCAAAAATAGCCGCAAATAAAACCAAACTGTTTGATAGCCTGTTGCTTACATATGGGTCAGGTTAAGAAGGATATACAGTACTTTACACCTGCTTCTTTACTTTTTACTTACTTTTTGCTTCTTATTACAGATTATAGACTGCTTCCTTATTATGCTAGAGCTAGAGAAGAGAGTTTAGGATAGTTATTTAGTATAGAGCTAAGTATAGTGTTGTGTTCATTTATCTTGTGCTGTGTGCTCATTCCTACTGTCTGTAACTGGTGATGCAACACTGAAATTTCCCCACTGTGGGACAAATGAAGGATCTCAATAGAAAACTGCCCTAGTCACACAAAGATAATTATTGACACTGGCGCTGCTCTTTCTTGTATTGGGTTGTCCTTGTCATAGTAATTATCTGTATGTCAAACTTGCATTTCTTACAAAAACAGCAATGCAGTTTGAAAAGGAGATGCTCATTGGGCTCAAACCCCTCCAAGCTGACGTGGGTTTTAAAAAATCCCTTCTGTTTCCCACTGTTATCCTGGGTCACCATAGCATTTTAACCTGGTAAAAAAAAAAAACAGGTCTACAGAGTTTATTTCCCTTTAATTTCTTCAAATTATCATTGTAAATATAGCACTAACAGTAATACATACAGATTTGTTGTTATAAATTAATAATTACACAAATTTTGTTGTCATGCATTCATTCGTTCAAATATAATAAAAAGTTGTGTTGTTGGTTAGTAATGCACAATGGTTTCAACAAGCTCAAGAAAATGACACTTTATGCACGAAAATATTAAGCCTCGTATAAGCAGTTCTCTAAAAAGGGTTAGGGTTAGGACGTTGATTCACATTTCAACTCAATGTGCTTAACAATAGAAAATACATCTCCTTGTTTGGATTATTTCACTCAGTTTTGGTCAGCTGTGCGTGTTAGTTCAGGAAAGGCCATGTGCACACGGTGTGAGGCCGGTTCTGTCTGTATATTGATTAAAGCTCCATTATTATTACTGTTAGGAGCGCTTTGTCTGGCTTTTTCGGCAAAATCCACCAACAAGTATATCACGGAGCGCTGTTGTGTGTCTAAAAACACTTGGCTCTGAATCACGAGCAGTGAGTCACTTACGCTGGCCCCCGTGAAGAAGCTGGAGGTAGACTGGAGGAGTGTAATTGTGCCTTCATTTATAGAGCAGCTGATTCACCACATTGATGAGGTCTGGATTTGGTTCTGGGGTTTTCTTTTTTCACGCTTTATTTTGCAAATTGATTATAAAGCTTTGGTGCCCAACTTTCAAACTACAAATAACTTATGTAATTAAAATACAGTTTGGTTCCATCTCTAGTTTTCACAATTTGGCCTGTGTCGTATCTTTGAATTAGCTTTTTCAGACCGAAAATTGAAAAGGAGAGGACCAATTTGATTTTA